CCCCAAAAATTTCCCACACAAAAAGGTTAGTCTTATTTTGTCTCTCCTTTGTTTTATTAATTTGTGTAATTATAATTATTGATTTATGGGTTTTGATTTTGTTGTTTGAAATTAATTTAATTAGTATCAAATTGTATTTTAATGATTAAACTTTATAATTTCAGATTTTATAAATGTCATAATTTTCAGATTTTGTAAATTTTATAACCTAGGGTTTTTAATTATTGAAAATCATGATTTTAGGGTTTTTATGAACAATTGAATTAAAGCTTTTATAGTAATGATGTTTTGAAATTTTGGTGATTATAACTACTAATTAGTTTAACTTAATTCCAGATTTATTTTGATCACGCAAATTCATGTTTTAATAATTAGATTTTCGTTCGTTAATATTAATCCCCTTTTAATCCCGATCTGGTTCTGAACTCGTCCAATTTTGATAAAAAAAAAAAAAAAAGTAGTGTTTTTTTCGTGTGATTATTATAAGGAGTTTAATTAGGGGTTTTAAAATAATTTTCAGATTATTATAAGTTATTTAAAGTGAGTTTAAGTTGCTGGAAATTATGTATACAAGGGTAATTGATATAGTGTTATTGTCCTTTTATGTAGGAGACTTGGTTCGAGAATTGTTGTAGAGTACTCGGTTATTTTAAGAGCTTATTTGAGGTACGTACGCGTACTTAGCATATTTTGATGATGTAGAATCATGCTAGGTTTGATTTCAATCAAATACAAGTAGTATCATGCTAAGGTTTATGTATGGAATTGTGAATTTATGGTGTTTGTGATTGAATTGTGAAGCATGAATTATTTGTGATGGTTATGGATTGGAAAATTATATTTTGGGCATGTTGTGTTTGAATCACATTTTTATTTATGTCATGTTAGAAGGCATGATTAATTAAACTACATGTTTAACTATGTTTGGAATATTGAAAATGAATTTTATTATGGTTCAAATAATTTTTATTGATGCTTTAAGCATGAGGAAGGAGCTATATTAGTGTCTATGTATACAAGGAATAAATTGTATGTTGGTGCCTTTGTGCACTTAAGGTGTTTTAACACCGAGGGATAGGATTTTTGGCGCATTATGCGTTTAAGGTGTCTTTGACAGTGAGGTAGAATTAAAAAGGGTTCAACATTAAATAATATGTGGTCACTAATTATTCAAGAATTAATTTGGTATGTTGGGTTGATTGAATAATTATTGTTGATTGTTTTATGATGCTTTGAGAGTCGTCACCAAGTCCAATAAAAGGTAAATAACGTAAAGTGAAAGAGATTACGCACCAAAACTCTTGGAACGTATATACCTTGAGTATGAACAATGGGGGGAGTTATGGGTTTTATATTTAACCATAACTTCTAATGGAGTACATGACGCTGTACATTCCTTTTTATTTATTATTATGTGCAGGAATTCCGCCACCTTTGAGTGGTTTTGTCGCTGGCACGGTTAGCTCCCGTGTCAGTTAACCTCAATTTATTTGGGGAGGTTAGTAGGAGGAAACCCGTTCGATGCGTAATCAACGCTAAATAAATTATTTAGTGTCTAGTTAAAGAGTCTTGTTGAATGTAGTGCGTGCTTGTTCACAGGTGCATTGAGGTAAGGGTGTGTTGATAGGTGAAAGCATGTTAGTGTGTTTATTTACGCTTATGTACTCCCTTTGCTGATTGTGTGTGTTTGTGTGTTTTGGCCTTGTCTTTACTTTGGCCCTACGACGACCCATTTTCTAATGGCGAGTAGTGGGGACAAGTAAAGAGGAGGTTTTCAGGTGATGAAGCATATTCATGATGGGCATGAGTGAAGAGCGAATCATGCTTAGTTTCCATAGGACTATGATGTGATTTATTGCTTCATTAATTATATTATTATTATGCTTGTGAGACTAATGTAAAGGTTTTCACGTTTCATTTGGTTTTGTTAAGGGCCTACAATGGTTCCAAGTTGTAGGTTGTTTTTGTTTGACTTTACTTTCGTTTGGGTTGGTTTGTTTTGGATGGTTTTAAGGATAGTCTTCCGTTGTGTGTCTTTGATAATTGCCTTAGCCGTTTTTACGATGGCGGTAATATCTTAGATATTCCTATTTAAATTTTTAAACAGGGCAAAAATAGGTATTTTAAAAGAAAGGAATTTCTAGGGTGTTACATATAGGAAATAAAGAAACGACACCTACCAAGCCATTCCATAGAGAATAGCTTAGTCCATCCTACAAACAGCCCCCAGCCGACTCCTGGGCATCAAACTCGGAGCACATACTTAATCCTATTCTAGAGAAAATTAGGATTGTTACAGCAGCAGGACACTTAGTTTTTGGAATAAAAATACAATCAACAAACAATCTACTAGTACTACTACTAATAAAGGGAGTTGTAGGGAAGTTTGAAAGACTTAAACCCCTACAATTCCAGCTCTAAAGCCTCATTTGGCCTCTCGTGGCTTTTCGGGGTAGCCACGTCACCCTTTGAGCACGAACATCAGCATTTGAAAAATATCGGCACTTCACGTTCAATCCCATCCTTCGTAAAGTTTGAACCCTGCAGCAACTTCTTCTCCATTTCCGGTACCAGCAGTGAAGGCAAATCATCATCAGAAAGCCCTAACTTCCTTGCAGCAGCACCTCTGTAGACCTTGGTCTTCTTTCTATTCTTTCCCCTAGCTTTCTGTAAGTTGGGCTCTGCATGCACTTCCTCTTTTGGGTCTAGGTTGAGGTCCAAGATTGATTTGAATGGGTGCTTCACCCCACTTGGCCACAAGCAGCCTCCCCTTTTTTTCAGATTTTCATTCAGAAACCCCTAGGCTTATAATAAATACTCTGTTTGGGCCTTACCGAGTTTGCACGTTCAATCCCCCCACCATGGGCCAAATGGTCCAGCCCACTCCGTACTACAGCCTTCCCCTTGTCAATTGGTGCCGATCCAGCCTTTGGAGGAAAATCGCCTTCCTTCTCTGAGTCTAATGACTTAGGTGAAATGTTTAACTCGCTGATTCGGGCCATTTGGTTTGTTAAGTCAACTTTTGGTGAGTGATCCAAACTGGATCTAGTAGAGACAAAGGAATCTAGAGAATTTGGGTTACTGGCTGGGTTTTTAAAGGCAAATTTTGGAGGTTGTTGAGAAATAGAAATTAATGCATCACAATGGGATACTTTTTGGGTTGGTTGTTTTTTAGGCTTTAGAAAAGGTTCAATCATCCTACTAAGTTCATCCCAGGAATCGAAAGAAAAGTCCAAATCATCCGAAAAATCAAAGGTAGGAGCAGTATAACGTTTACCTCCTTTCGTTGGACCACCTTGCATGCCATCATTGGAGACCATCACAGCTGCATTTACATCCAAAAGGAAAAAATTCGGTTCGCCATTCTTGGAAAGGTTTGCATCATCAAGAGTAGGTAGCACCAACCTATCCCAGCTTTCCACATCCGAGGAGGACGAAAAGAGAGACTTAATGTCTCTTATAGGGAAACCCATGTCGAACAGCTCAGATTGATAATTTAGAAACTCCATGTGCATTGGAAAGGAGGTGGATTTTGTTCGGGTTTTTTTATAAAGGTTCGGAAGAAAGGGAGTGATATGTGGGGTTGGGGTGTATAAATACATTAATCCATGAGATAGGGGAATGTCAACCTAAGTAGTTGGTATGACATTAATACTATTTATGGGAATCTTGAAGAACTTATTATTATACCATCAACACCTAGGTTTTTATACGGTTCATCCCTGTCTCCTCCACGTCCACCCGGCGAGTCAAAACTATCTTCGCTCAAATCTTCTGCTTCCCCCATCGTATCGTCATCGTCATCATCGGGAGGATTATCTTCATTATTGTCATCATCGTCCTTGTTCGATCCCAACGATGATTTTGGGTCCCAATTAGATTTCTGAGTCACTTGATCCGTCACAATATCGTCACTTCACATTGTTCGGTGTCACTTCACACTTTTCAGACCCACTAGCTTCCTTGTGAACAACGGTTTGTAGGACTGACTAATTTTGAAGCACCCATCCCCATTGCACACTCGCATCATTACCGCTTCTATTTATCTGCTTGTGTTTATTGGAAAAGATTTGCAATGATTGCCTTTATGGCCAATTCTGCCACACATTGCAGAAAACGAATACCCCTTCATATCTGAAGTTTACCCATTCGAAGTTACCAATTGCATATTCGAAATAGAAGCCTGGGATGAGAGGTTTACTAATGTCCGCCCAGACTCTAGCACGTATGTCACATCTAACTGGGTTCTTCAGCGAGTCTTCATCATAGAACAGCACTTCCCCTATCCTTGCAAATGCTCTGCTTGCAATTTTGATGGTGTTGTAGTAGAGTGGAAGACCCTCAATTCGAAACTAAATGTAGGTAGAATCAAAGGGCATTGTGCATAAAGCATGACTATTGAGACACATTTTCAGGACTAGTAGCGCTCCTTTATAGATAGTGACTCCATGCCTTGCCAAAGCTCTACAATCCTCTGCATTTGTGAATTTAAAGAGGAAGATGTCCTTAACTTTCTCTATTGTCATAAGTCCTCTAGCTCTCCAATTAGAGAACACCCAAGCTTGAATTTCCTCCCTAGTAAAGTCCTTGTTCCTCCAATCTTTGAACTTACCCACAACCATACGCCCTGCATCTGCATGCGCTTTGAACTTTTCATTCGTTGTGGGACGTAGTACAAGTCCTATCTGTCATAGATTAGAGAAGGCAAACGGGTCTATGTTTGGGTTAGCGAAGTCCCAAGTCCGACATAGGAGATAAGAAAAAGTAAGGTAGTAAGGAGAAGGGTAATACAAGTATGAAAGAGAGGTTAGACGAAAAGGAGAAAGGGGTAGTTGGGAGGGCGGCAAAAGGCAAAAGAAGGAAAGAACGAAAGTAGAGAGAGATGCTCTAGAAATCTAGAGAAAGAGACAAGTAGTACGTTATTACTGAAAATATTATATGAATCTTATCGTATCACATTATTTGAACATTTGGAGTTGGCAAATTAAATACTCGTATCTAACTATCAAGCCTTACTAAAAATCAATTTCTTAAGGAAGCACAACATAATACATGTACAGCTATATGATTTAAGGTTAATGATTATCTCAAGAACATTAAGGTATAGACGTACAAGACAATAACCCTAAGCAGGAAGTAGCCATTTAAAAAGTATAGATAAAAATTATATGCATGTTCAGCATGAACCTGCAGAAACTGCAACTCAAGCAAAATCTCCAGCACAGGCCAGGATTGAATAATGCTCTATCTGCAAATGAACAGCATATTGCTTCAGGCAGAAATGTATAGACGTCCGGTGCTATTAAAAAATTATAAAGGAAACAATAATCCTACAGAACCAAACTATCAATAGTGTCAAGGAATATGCCTGTCTGTACAAAACATTTCCTACTCAAAGGCCGTTAGTTTTGTATCTTCCTACAACTCTTCGAAATTCATGTCGCATCGAGTCCAAACATCATATGGGCTTCCAGTTGCATCCCTTCTTTTGCGCCTAGCAGCAAGTTCATTGAAGCAATATCCTGTTGAGTGCTTATCATGCAGCTCAGTTGTATGCGGCCAGAATGCTACACATGCCATCACTCGTTGCGGATGGAGTGATATTTTTCCCATAGTGTAGGGGATTTCGAAATTTCATTCATGAGGTTCTTGAACCTAATGCTGCAATCACCACCACTGCAACAAAGGAGCAATTACAATCATATACTTTTGCCATGCAGACGCTTTCAAGCAATCAACATTTATGCTGAGGTGTCACATAAACAGAAATGCACCTCAAGCCCTTTATAACCAAAAAAGCATCAACTTAATAAATAAAATAAAAAAGAAAAACCCACAAACACTCTAGCTTTCTAATTCTGATGTAATAGATTCAAAAAGACTCCTTTAAATTTTTAAACTAGGTTAAATTTTACTAATTCGAGTATTTGATCCAAATGACTCGTACAGTTTCAAATTTAAATATGTGCCTCACTCTGTCTATTCCTCTCATCTTATGCCTAATTTCTAGGACCCCAATCATCTTAAAGCACCCTAAGCCGTATATATACTTGTGTGCAATGAACAAGACATGAGAGGGTTTAATTTGAATTGCACACTAACTCAGTCAGAAAGCTCGAAGAATAAGGCAGAAAATAAGTTAAAGATAGTAGAATCAAAAGTTTATACATCTAGAGAAGGGTAGGAAAGTAATTAGCTCAGCCACACTTGTGTCATCAAGTCTTCTGAATACTTGACATTTAACTCAAACTAGTGTGGCCCGGGAGTTGCACCGGGTTACCAATTTGATTAAATTGTTTTTTTATGAAATATATTATCATCTTTTTTGACAAAATGAAATATATTATGATCGATTATGTATGTTATGCATAAATGTTAAAAATAATGTTACTAATTGATAGAGTATAGAAAGATAATTTTTAACACACTATTGTTTGTAAAATGTTGATTTTATTCCTTTTTTTTTTTTTTTTCAAACTGCTAATCTCATATTTCGTTTTTAATTGATGCATGTCATTTATAGTTATATTTATATGTGTAGATGACATCTTGGCTAAGATGGTAAGGAAGTAGATCTTGTTTCCTTGAGGTCTAGTGTTCGAAACCCATCATAAGTTTTTTAATAATAGTTGGAATGATTTGGTAATGATTACCTTTAATATGCTAGTTCACAACAAAGTATAGCTGATAAGACAACACATGTATATAAGCAATCAGAAATAAGCATAGGGCCCTGGATATTAGGAGTACAGCATATATTACAATTACAAGTATGTTCTGAAAGGTCTAAAAAAATTCTGTGGCCCTATTACAAAAAGAAATGCCAATGCCATAACACCATAGTATGTTCTGAAAGGTCTCAAGAAATTGATAATTCTGTTCATACAGAGAGACTGATAAACACATGCCATATAGATATACTTCTGTTCTTAAAACATTACATGCACAAGAATTTAGAAGACCCATGTGATAGATGAGAAAACGTGAGATGAAATTAGTGCCCAAGTGATGAGGAGAGAGAAAGGAGAAAAACTTGCAGATGAAAAACAAAAGGTGTTGCAAGGGAATTCAGGGTAAAAAGCTTCCAACAATTACACTTTTTCTTGCTGGACTCTAGATAATTGTAAAACTACAAAAGACCTTCAAACATATTTCAAGAATCAGGTAAGCAAAGCATGAAAAACTTAGTACCACCAAAAACATGATTAACCAGTCAAAAACTATAAGTATCAGAAATATTGTGCACTAGTAATTCCAGAAATGCGATATCATGAGTCAAATTTGGTATTTACATACTGCAAAGAAAAACATTTAATAGAAGATCTCCAGTACCCAGATATGTGATGTGAGCCAGAAACTGTGTACCTACTCTATATACCAAACAATGGCTCGTTAAGATGATAAATATTTGCAAAACAGAACTACAAACAAAAATACTTCCAATCATAAAAATCTAACCTGAAAAATAAAAGTATTGAGCAGTTACGTACCTAATGCGATTCAAAGATGCAATTGCTCTAAGAGCACTCCTTATCATGTCCTCATTACGATCTATCTCTTGCTTCACAGCATCTTGCTTTGGCTTAAAATTAATAGTCTTCTGAAGAGGGTCCACCAACGAATCCAAGACTGGCAATTTGAAATTTGGAACAAAGCAAACCATCATAAGCATTGTAGCACAAATAATCAGAGATTTACTAAATTTTGTGTCCCATATCGATTGCAATAGGATGAAAAAGCTTGCATGAAAAATAATATGAATCTAGCATCATTCATATTAAAAAAAGCTTGTGAAGTGAAAAGGCTGAAACATTTTTCAAATTCGAATCCCATGCAAATAACTAAGTGATAATGGGTGATGCATTTTCCATCTAATATCTGCGAACACTAACCTGCCAATACAGCAGATGGACACTTGTCTGCGAGTTTAGAAAGGATAAGGTGGCACGGCATTTTAACATCATAATGATCTGGCAAAAGCAGGATAAATTTTTCAGTAAAGGTCATATAAATTAGAATATGGTTTCTTAACTTTACAAGATAGATATAGGAGGGATTAACACCACATTAAGTGTTATAGCAGATTGTCTATTGCCTTGAGCAGAAAATTGCAACCTATGTAACATTGACACGGGTACGGGTATCCGATTTGGTATGGATCTGAGTGTTCGATACGTCAATTTCAAAAATTTAGGACACGAGGACACCGTCTTAACTTTGGACTCGGGTACGATACGAGCATACGGCAATAAATTTTTCAGAAAAAATTGGATAATTAATATGCCCATATTAATAATAAAAACAAAATTAAAAATCTTTTACCGTGTGTAGATTGTAGAGTAGAACGGAGTAGCTAGTAGAAATAATATAGTATGTGAGCAGTAATGAAAAGACAGTAAAAAAAAAAATAAAAAAAAATAAATAAATAAATAAAAAATGGGAAAAGGGAAAAGGGATGGGTCATGTAGGAATGTGGGGTAGATTGTGAGAAACAATTTGTTAATTTGTATGGTTAAAGAAGTGGTGGGGTCAGGTCAAGAGATCAAAGTAAAAATAATACCCTGTATCCAACCTACTCCTTTAATTATATATATATATTCTTTTTATATGGCCAAAAGTCTGAGAAAACCTGCTCGACTTCCATGGAGAAGCCATACAGCCTCGCCGGAAAAGTATACAGGAGCCTAAATTATAGGTTTTTTCTATGGATATTTTTCATGAAAATCATTTCAAGATGACAATAACGTACCCGAGAGCCAAGTGACGTGTCTGGAACGGATTTCATACCCGGATCCGGGTATGACGGCAAAATGCCGTGTCCGAGTAACATAGATTGCAAGCATGAATTGTAGCTACTTACCATCCAGACCAGATTTTAGATGGGGGATAATAAAGGAAGCTGGATTGACTTGATCGAGGCAATGGTCCAACAAAGTGTCAACACATTCAAAAGCTGCTTTTCTTAGTTCAAGACCATCATCTACAACATGCTTAAATGGACCCAAATCAACTGTTCTAATCAACTCTTGCTGCAACACAGAATAAAAGAATCAATGCCATAACAAGAAAAACTGAACATTAAATTGTGCCATAGGTCTATAACTAATTTTACAAACTAATCCCTAGGCAAATATTCAAGAAAAAAGCACTTCTTTCAGAAATAAAGCAGGAGGTTAATAATATGTCATTATATGAGAAGAACCAGATGACACTCAAAATGAAAAGGAATTCAGGTCCATCTTATTCATACATGTGCATACTTTTTAACTAAATGTGCAGCTTATTTTTTAACTACATACATGATATGCATTTTTTTTTTAAAACAGAATGCTTATTTTTTAATGGTTTTAAAGAAAAATCAGGGGAAAAACATCAGCTCAAAAAAGATATACATTTAGTTGGGAAAAGAAAATATTGAATCAAAAAATTATGCACATATATAGGGCTTTAGGGCACAAGGGATAACCATATGATTTAACGAGTCGGTGATGAGGTAAAATAGTACCTCTCCCTTCACTGTATTATAGATGGATCTTGATATTGTGACATTTTCGGAGGTCCTGAAAAAAGTTACGTAGTACATTGTACGGGGTTGATTCGAAATGTGGTACGTAAACGGATACGTGAAACGTTACTCTTTGTGAATCCGAAACGATTGTGTACGAAATAGATAATTAATATTATTTTTTGAAGTATTTTTTTTTTTAGCCAATGAAGGTTGAAAATACTCATTAAGATAAATATCTAGTACAGTTTTTCTGTAGGGGCATGCCATTCAATAGAAATGAGAATAACAAAATATGGGTTAATAGAATAGGCCTAATTATTGGTGTATGTCAAAGGCTCAAAGCCCATTCAACAATAACAAACCTAGCCGCCATACTACAAAAAAATAGACAAAAAAAAAACACAACACTGCTGCTGCACGTGAGAGGAGAAAGAGACTAAAAGAAAAAGAAATCAAAACGACCGATCATACACAGGTTCGCGGAATCCGGCGACCCAACGCAACCTCCAGCAACCTGAGTCACGTTTGTACCCCATTCCGGTACGTACGAACCAGGTCGCGGTTCGGGCCAATGTACCGCGAACCTTGTAAAACTCGTCCAAAAGTCCTACTTCAACATTTGCTAATTGGTCCACCATCTACCTTTTCTTTATGCCTTCCAGTGAACTGGTATAGGCTAGGGAGGAGATTGGCTTGGGGTGTTTAACAAAGGGTGAGGGAATCAAAATGGATAACTTGCTTGCTTGTTTGTTAGGACATTTTAATAGTTCTTTTTACCATCTTTATTTCCCAGTCTTCTACTTTGATTCCCCCCCCCCCAAAAAAAGGTTTTCCTATTCCCTTCCTCAAGACTCCTACACTCCTATCAACAACACCACAACACCAACCACCACCCTAGACCAAAACCACCAGCACCACCATGCTAGAACCAAAACCCCACCACCACCACCATCCAAAACTCAACCCCTCGCCCATCGAAAAGCCACCCCTAACCACCAAACACACCATACTATGAGTCTTATCGACATTCTGGGTTTTATGTAATTTATTTTCTTATCAATCTGATCTCCGGAAAGATATAGGATCAGATCTACAAGTTAGAGTGTGCATTTACGCCTTTTCCAATAACTAATGTGCCACCCTTAACCTTCAATTGCTAAAACTAGGGTTGCAGATTCACGATGATGGTACTGGCATTTTGGTTCACGAACTACACCAAATCGGGACGTCAACGAACCACGAATTAGTTCGTGCGAACGGCAAACCCAATCAAGATTCGTGAGGGGTAGGCGTGAAACTGGTAACGATGCTCCGATTTACTACACCAATTCCTATTCACTGTAATCGGAAGATTATTGGCTGAAGATGACTTGAGGCATAAGAAGCCCATCACATTCCTTTAGATTAGTTAGGAGAACGGGATTAATAGATTGATTAGCTATGACATTAAATTCATATTCACAATCTGTAATACACATGTCAACACTGTTTAAAAAGATACCACTGCTAATAATCACTTGTATCTAAAGCAACACATATTTTAAGATTATACTAAGAATAGATCACTTCCTGTTGAGGAATTTCTTCTCGCCATCATATAAAAACATTATACAAAAGAAGTACAAAAATTTCTCCGTTTTTATGGGTGCAACACTTTTAAAGTCACACTAATGACATATACAATCCATGTTTTTGGAATTTTTTTGTTTGGATAAAAAAAGTCACGTGAGTCTTGTTAGATTAGTCTTTATATACTTTTCACATATCATTGTTTATAAATTTTATTTATTAATCATTAAAGCTATTATTGGTTGAATATATGCATAAACAAGTGTGAAAATAAAGTGTTTTATCTAAATTTAAATGGGGGAAGCATATACCAAATCATATAAATGGAGCTAGGCGGGAAGCTGAACATACATTCCGTGTAATATATCAGAAATTTGTATTACCTTAACCACAGTCTGATCATATAGAAGAGGCAGCATTTCCGGCAAAAGCCCTTTGATGAGATTTGGCTTATTATGGGCAGCTGTACTTAAAGCCAAAACAGCTGCACGTCTAACATGCTGCATTAAAGAAAGAGAAAAAAAAAAACAAAAAATATATTTAACAACAGAACAACCAGATCTCAGAAACACAATCTAAATGCAAAAGCAAAAGGATGTTTTATGACTCTAAGAAACAGTAGATCTGACAGTGCGCTGAGAGGCAAGTTAGTCATTGCAGAGCAGCAATGAGCTAAATCCTAATACTTGTTCTGTCAATCATATAGCCTTAAGTCCATAAATCAATGAATATTTAGAGAACAAGCCTAAAGTAGGTAAGAAAGGTTGATACGATAAAACAACATTCAATTTTCATGAATTCTAATGCTGCAATGACCACTTAGTAATGAGAAACAATATCAGTCATCTATCTTCACATATTTTATCATGAAAGGCACTGCCTTACAAAATTTTGCCTAATGGTGGATCCACTTGGCTGATGACTTAACGTACTGTATTTAGCATATCGTGGCTTAAAAAAAAGTCATTTGACAACCACAGAGCATGTCAAGACTCAGGAAAAAAGGTTGTGAAATGTAACATCTGATGGTAAGGCTTAATGCCTTCAAAATTAAACAAAGTTTCATTTAATAATTACTCCAATAAGGTATTATGTGAAATCAGGGGAGGGGTTAACAACACAAACTAAAAATGTTCATTCACCGTTTAAATTAATCTCCAAACTACAATATCTCCGAGAAGATGTATTAATTACATACTATATCCTCTTATGTTGTTACAGTGTGAGCCTCATCTTATGTAATGACAGTTCAATTCTTTGCATCTGACAAACAACTCACAAATCACATGGCACCAAAGACTTGAATTCAATAATTAGGTAGGTGAATGACCAACCTTCACCTAGTCAAACACCTTAGGCTATTCATGATAAAGCAGTCTAGTCCCAATAAGTACAGATAAATACAAGAACCAAACAATCGATATGATCCACATGATTATGATATTTTAAAATTACCAATAATTTCAAGACTAAAAACAAATTTAAAATCAATAATCAAGCAGAGAACAATATGCTTATGCACTCTACGAAACTCTTTGTATCCATAGATACATCAATGAGGAACAAAAAGTGTAACAGAATTACCCAATCTTGATCCTTAATTAGCAACAGAAATGAAGAGATTTCAGGATGCAGTATCTCGTCTATTTTTTCAGGCCTTTCCACCAGAGAATACTTAATGGCAATGATGGCAGTGGCCCTAGTGAATCCAGCAGGACTTGTAATTCGCATCTATGCAATCACAAAAACAGGAACAATTTAGTAAAACTACAAAAACCCAAGCAAATTAAGTTATTAAAAATCATTGCCAAAAAAAAAAAAAAGGTAAGATTATATCATGGACACCTTTAGTGCAGGGACAAGTTTATTGGGCTCAATGAGAGCAATTTTACCAAGGCATTCAGCGACCACATTGCGTACTCCCTCCTCCTCACTTTCACAATGATTAAACAACAGGTTTAGAATCTTATCAACACTAGTGGCTTGAAACTCAGCTTTATCTGTTGATTGTCTAACAATAACCTGCACAAACATACACAGTTTTAGAAGAACTGAAGAACCTTAGAATGGCGAGTTTAAGAACATACCTCTTTCAATGAATGCAGCAACAGATACTGCTTCTTTTGCTGATGATCAATCTGGTCCAGAATAAAAGGCAAATACTTGGACAGATTTCCAACAGCAATGTTCCCAAGGGCATAGGAGGCTGCAGATTTAATCTCTTCAAAAGGGGATTGAAAAGAATCGATAACAATATTCTCAATATGAGCATGTGCGCTCAGGTCTTTCCTTCTTCCTATCTCTCCCAAACAGAGCAAGGCTAGGTGTTGCTTTGCCTGGAATTTGTAAATGGAGATTGTTGAAAAAGAATAAATAAACCCATTAGACAAATCAACACAGAGAAAAGTTTCGGCATCTTAGTTAATAAAAAACAAATATATAAGACCTAAATAAGCAACCTATTCTCAGTCAACACTCAACAGTAAACAATATGGCACAGAATAAACATCACAAATAGAAACAAAAGCTATCAGTAGTTCACGAAAACAACTAGGGTCATCAAGCAAAGATGTTTGAACTACGAAATGGATGTAAGCTAAGAATCCAAGAGTCAGGCTTGAGATTCTAAAACAGTAAATAGGGCAACTTTAAGTGTCCATATTTTTAAACTGGACTCAGAGAACACAGATGTAAACAAAATGTTATTCTATAAGAACTATTGACTGTATAATTAGTGAGAGTGAGGGATAGCTTAAGTGGTTAGAGCTTCCCTCCTGATAGGAGGTCCTGGGATCGATTCTCACCCCCGCCCCTCTCTAAACACCCAAAAAAAAAATTGACTGTATAATTAGTACTCCCTCCGTTTTTTTTAAGTGCCCCATAGTGACATATCACGCATGCCAATGCAAAACTTTGGCTAATAATATCTTTAATAATCATTAACCATAAATTATAACAATTGAATATTAATAATCTACTCATTGAGACGATTCCAACAAGTACCCACAAGACTATTTTTTCTTATGTATAATTCATAAACATTGGTCAAATTATGTTTCATGAATAGTGCCAAAATCACCAATGGGGCACTTAAAAAAAACGGAGGGGGGAAAAATAGGAGTTCTATTAAGTATAGCTGGTAAATAAGTTGATATTCAAATTCAAAAATTTTATTTTGAGCATCTTTACCCAGGACTAGGTGAGCACAGTGGCCAACAGTAACTATCATGACAAGATAGCATATTAAGGTTTTCCTCTCAATGGCTACCTATAGCCTTAGCATATTTGAAACTCTAGATATGATGTGATGATTTTATTACATCAGTACATGAAACTGGCCACGTCCATTTTCTCTCAGGCAAGAGACCCATATTCGAAGTCAGAACATGAGTAAAGTCAACAGAAATATTGGTGGGGTAAAATCTGAGTCCAAATATCAGTCATCAAGCACATTATGTGGCAGCTGGGGGGGGGGGGGAAACCCTCTTTTCTGGGCCGTAACAATCTAGTTCAGCTAATTTGATAGCAATATTGCAATAAACTAAAAACGCTAGGTAACTTTTATAACATTCTTAATCATACAGACCAACTTTGTCTTTTTACAATATTCATATTGCATAGTGCAATTGTACTCGGGAGGGGAAAGAAGATTCTAAAAGATGATTGATAGCAAAAAAATTGAAAATAAAATATCCAAAGTGGAGTAAAGTGGAAGATCTGCTGAAAGTCAAAATAAAAAGGATCTTACTTGTACATGTTCAAAACAATGAAACAAGGCATAATGAAATCAAAGATTGGCTCTAATTAAACCCAAGATATATTTTTCATTTGATGAAAAAAGTGAAACTGTCCGGCACCTAGATAAGGATCCTTGAAGCCTAAGCGCAAGGCACAACACAAAGGTATGTGAGCTTTTCATTACAAGATGCAACTTAGATTTTAATGTTTTAGAAAATCGGCTTAAAATAATACAACTATTAATGGTTTGTGCAAAATAATACAACATTACAACCTCAACTATTTGTCAACCGTATAACATTTTGTACTATATGTTCAAAATGGTACGCCAGCCACCAAAGAAAACATTTTAAGAAATATTCTTTTCATATTCATTATTATTATATAATTTTTATTATTTTTTTTAATATTAAAGTATTTGTTTTCAAAATACATTTTATGTTAATAATTTTATCCTACCCAAATTAATGATGCTCTATTAGACTATTTACTATCAAACAAAAGTAAATAGGGTACCTGAATGCATATTATATTGATATAATTATTAGTTTCAAAAAATTTATTAAAAACCAAAATTAACAAATATTTCTTTTGTCTTTCATACTTACAACACACCTTTTGGCATGCTAAACTATTTGAAAAAATGATTAGACTATATAAGCGGACAAATTATGCTACAAGTTTTAATCGTAGCAACTTAACACTTTCTTCTTCATTTTTTTAACATAACACTTTCTTATTGGTAATAAAATTTATGTTGATTGATTTTATCTGTTTATCTAGTCTAATATCTTTGTTAAATTATGTGTCATGTCAAAATAGTGTGTTAATGTAAATAAAATGTAAAAATTATGTATTTTGGAAAAAAATTAATAATTAATGGTATAAAATAAATATAATAATATAGGTGGACGAAATATTCCTTGAGATACCTTCTTCGATAACTAGTGTACCATTTTGCAAATATATTACAAAAGGTGGTACCGTTGAAACCAAACAACTGAGGTCATATTATTTTGCACCCACCACTAATAGGGTGGATTAGTTTAAGCCAATTTTCCTAATTTTTTTCTTATTTCTTTTTTTTTTATTTTGGCGGAATTAAAATTCATTACCCGTAAAGAGATCATAGTAATGATAAAGTTTAAAACAAAAAGGAAATTTAAATATATATATATATATATATATATATATATATATATATATATTATAAATAACTTCATCCTACATTGTGATTAAAAAAGAATGCAAATCTATACAAATGGAAAATTATAAATATTTTTTTCTTAAAAAGGTTGCCGTGTAAAATATTGAATACCAAAATAAGACAAAAATAAAAGTTCCATAAAGGGAATGGTGGGCTTCTACAAGTAGGTCACTACTTAAAATAAGAAAGATAAAATCAGAAAACCAAAGAAGACTAGACATCAATAAAAACTGAAAGCAAAGAGCAGAAAAACCAAACGGCAATCCTAAACTGAAAGCAAAGGGCAGAAAAACCAAATGGCACTCCTAAACTGAAAGCAAAGAGCGTAAAAAACAAATGGCAATCCTACAAGAAAAACTCACTGAAAACAGTCTAGGTATTTGAATGGTAACCTATTTTCTAAATTAGGGTTTAGTCTAGATTAGAGAATTGTAATTTAGAATTATTTGAAGCCATTTCATGCAATTTAAGGTTTTATCTCAAAATGGGGTCTTAAAGCCTGAGTAATTAAATAAAATTATTCTTTCCCTCACGGTATTAACAAAAAGCACTCGGGGAATCTTGCGCCACAAAACAAAAAGGATAGAGACACAACGCCTAGTGCCTAGGCAAAGGCATACGCCTTTCATTATGGGCGGCACCTGACAATGGAGATTACCTAGGCACACTTTTTAAAAACTAATCCAATAGAATAGGAATCCAATGAAGACGTTGCTCATAGAGTCAAGGTAGGCTGGTTGATGTGGAAGAGCACTACTAGGTATCTAAGGTTTCTATGTGATCTTTGTTTCTAGGTGGCTTCTATGTGATCCAAACATAATGAAGGGACATTAAGACTGCACTTTCATATAGTATGGAACGCTACCCGTTATCTTGAAAATATTCACATTCTTAATATGGGCAAGTTACACCTATTCGAGACAAAATTAAGGGGATTTTCCTAACATGATTTGGCCATGTTGGATGGATCAAGTTATGCGCCAGATAAGAGGTATAACAAGTGACAAATTGTTGGAATTGTGAAGAAAAGAGAGTAACAAAGTGTAAAGATTAAGAATAATATGGCATTGCCATTGAAGACGAAAATGAATGCAGATCACATGACTTTATGTATGCACATTCTTTCTATTATTTATTTCCTTTTTTCATTCCTTTTTAAACTCATTGTATTTTGCAAATTTTTCACCCTTAAGCATATTTTATTCACAATCTTTCTCAATTATAAATAAAATAAATAAATAAAATAAAATAATTAGAAAACTTAAACAAACTTAAATTACTTGGTATATCCTTTTTTTAAGACTTCCATTTTCAACCACCCCCGTTTTTTTTGCTTCCACTTTTCTATATTTTGTTCCACACTTTCTCACTTGTTTTAATCTCTCTTCTCTTGTTTCACTTTTCATGGACATTCCTTATGACTTATTCATTTTAGCCAACCCCAAAATATTTTGAAACTCAAGCTTTGTTGTTGGCACATCATCGCCTGAAAAATGGTCAATTGTTCAATACCCCCATTCGACATGTTTAGGAGCTCTAAGATTATCTTCATTTTCGCAATGCAAAGTTCTCATATGCTAAGCAAATATCTATAAACAAAAGGAATGACCAATCCCAACAATCATAAGCGGACTAGAAATTTGATAGATGAGATGTAACATAGTCAAGAACCCATAGTGATCAATGCAACGTGCCAACATGTAAAACATTTCAACCACTCATAAGTCGTAAGCATGCACTTATACCTGTCCTAGTTTCGATTAACATTGCCATTTAAATTTCACAAGAACTTGATACCAAGAGAAAGAAGTTACATGCATTATATTTCAGAATCAATACCAAAAAAAAAAATATCTAACAGCATCAGAGCTTACTGAATTGATTGTACTGTCACCCTTGAGAATATTTGTCAGCATGTCTACTGTAGACGAGCATCTGTCATCACCCGCAGCAAGGCAAAGAACAGCAACACACTGAGCAATTGAAAACATCGCTTGTTTAGCGACACCACCAGACTGAGGAGATGGTTTAGCACATGAAAGCAGAGAATCTAGCAAATTCTCAAAACTTGTATATGCAGAATACACCAAGCCAGCAAAAAAAATTCTGTAGTGCCTGCAGCATTCAAGAAACTTTTTTCAGCTAGCAGCCTAGCAGGAAGATAATTAAGAATAAGTAGCATCCATTGACCAAAACAATACCGTGAGTGCTTGCCCCTGGAGCAAAGAGCTCTTGACTAATGTCAACGCAGGAGGAAGAACTCTGTCCCTCACAGTCAAGCCAACACTTGGGTTTGACCTTCTGTCAGTCATTAAAGTGCAGCACAGCTCCAGAGCAAGAGCAGTCATATGCAAGTCTGAATCACTGGTAAAAATTGCATCTATGTAAAAAAAAACTAAACTCCACAAAAAACATATATATAAGACCTCCACATATTAGTAAAAGAAAAACCTAATGAGAGTTGATAATTCAACAATAATGACTCCATAAGCTGAAGAAGTTATTTTGTCGCCATATGCAACTATTAGAGAGTTCAGTGTCCCCAGAGTGGCCTGTCTAAGCGCTCGATTGGCCTATTTCAAAATCATAACAGCAAGGTATCAGCAAACAATTTAATGCCATACATAAATTTTAGAAAATGCCCAATAAGAATATTGAGAGAACCCAAAAAGATTGATCTTCAAGATAAGCACAATTAGCAGGATCATTATACCTTCCGTAGAAACGCCGTTAACTCAACAATAACATTCTCCAAGACACATGACAGATCGATACGAAGTGGAGAAGCAGCAATGACAGCAAAAGCCTGTGTGGAATATCAGCACATAATTAACAAGTACTATTTGACACAAGTATAACAAACTAAGCATAAAGCAAAGGAGCTCTATTTCTATGGAGCTCATGCTAAACATTAAACGTAGCATCTAAAGAACTTGAAAGAAGGTGTCTTAGTTGGCAATCCTATAAAATTCAAGCAATACTGTTGACATGCAAAAAACAATTCGATCTTGTCAAATAGAAGTGAAAAACTGAATAAAACATCCTCTCTTTAAATATGTAACACCTTAGACATTTTACTCTGAATAGAATTCTACAGTGACAGCAACCTTGACACAAGTCATAAAAATATACCACAATCACATAATGTCAGTGAAGCTTCCAGTAATGTTCCTCAGCACAAAGATACATGACCAAGATTGCATGTCGCCCCATAAGAAAACAATTATGTAAAAATAAATAAATTTAAAAAAAATATAAAAATAAAAAATAAAAAATAAAAGAAAACAGGGGTTAAAATACTTGTAAACTTTGGTGGCAAACCGGGTTGTTCAAGTGGGGTAATGTTTGGGTGAAGACTCACCAGATTGATTTCAAATTTAATTCAATTCTGATTAAATCAAATTCAGTAATTGAATTAAATTCAGTTCTACAATCTATTGCTAATGATTAAAGTAAATCATTATTAGACAAATTGATTTCGGTCCGGGTGGGTTGGATCAACATCAATCGCGTCAATTTGGGTCGTAATTTCTGGTAGAGTTTAAATTTTGGGTCGGTGATTGGGTATATAGGGTAACCTTTCCAGTTCTAAGCTGCATGAACCATCAAAGAACCAAACAAATCCAAACCCCCTCTTATATTAGTCTTGTTCAAAAGTAGCTAGCTTAAAATGTTGAACGAATAGTTGTGCATTGCATAGTTGTCATGTCAAGTTGTCAACAGTTACAGATAAGCGTTGGAATAGTGGAACGGTTTTTTTTTATTTCTTCTAAAAGTTTGACAACCAATCACATCATGGTCTCCATCCCCATCAGCAAATAGGATGTGGGGATAAAAGAAACCTAAACCATAGAAATATAATAGCATTGCATAACTTGAATTGAATTGTGGAACAGAAGCCTATGTTCCTCTAGGCAACCTCTGCCAGTCCTCATATTAAGTATCTTTCACCATTCCTTTTGATATCATCAAAGACCAATACACCATCCTCCACTCGCTATTTAAGAGGGAAGAATTGTTCATTATAACTAAAGACATCAGTCAACCATTGCAAAGCTATTAAATAACTAGGACTCCCAAAATTCACTAGTCATCAACTTACAACTACACCAAAATGCTGAGTTAAAACAATTTGGCAAAACAGTACTCAGTACAAATCAGATTCTTGAACATGGTTAACTGTCCAGCACATTCAACCATTAGATACCAAATAGCAGCTGACTTAAGAACCTAATCAGCATCAGTCAACCATCAAGTTTGAAGACCTGATTAGATGCAAATCTCAAATCTAAGAAAGAGCATGGAATATCAAAACACAATTCTAAAACACCTCTTATTCTATTACTACACCATCGACAATGAATAAAAAGAATGTATGATTAGAGCACCAAGGGAATGTCAGCCAAAGCTTCACATTGTAAGGATGGTTTCTGCCTGAAAATCATTAAATGCAGTATCCTAAAGCTTCTCAACATAATATAATTCATTTTTTATTTCTAGAAAAGTAGGTCCCCTTCTGGCAATAAAAAATACTTTCTCACAATTTAATAAATGAAAGTTTCCGCAATGGCAGCTGCTACTACCAAAAAGATACCATCCCACCTCGTAGAGATTTTGAGACTATACAGAATAGAGTTATAAAATAAACTCATCCACTCCAACCCCAAAACGCAAATAAGCAAAGGAAAAAAGAGATAAATCGCAAAAGAATTGTACAGTAGAAAAAATTAAGAATAATAACAAGCAAGAGTTGCACCATAAAAAAGCATAAAAAGAGGAGCAAAGCCTAGCCTTCCTTTTTTTTTTTAACATTGGTTAAAAGAGCATAAAACACCGACATTCACTTCCCTAGTTTTAAAAAAGCTGACTTAGGCGCAACATTATCTAGGTGCAGCGCATTACAGAAGGCACTGAGAGGCACATGCCTCTGTCAAGGCACCTCAAGGCACCAGGTGCTGCACTTAAAGTTCAAAAGCTTTGAAACTTACAAAGTTCCCAAAATTTCTCAAACTAATCTCATCCAGTCTTAAATAAGAAAAATCCCTCAATTAATTACATGATTTTACTTGCTTTCAACCCCATATTGAAAGCTTTAATTACTGGAGACCCTAATTCGCAATAGAGATGTAATTGACAAATTGGTGGTATAACAGACTTTGCCGGTGAGATTTCTCTGGGTTTCTGGCAGGAGAACTGGGTGGATGTTGCTTGTCAAGGAATTCTAAGTTTATTCTCTCAATCAGGCCACTACTTATACTTCTAGCCACTACTTTCCTTAAACACTATACCCCTATCTGTGCTCATAGGCATCCTATAGTTATTCTTTTGTACAGCATCAATAAAACAGCCAAAAAAAAGGATGGAAATAAACATATATGAAGTTAAAAGTACAAAAAAACTAACCTTTACTGCAGTAAGCCTGGTTATCTCATTTCCCATTCGATCAACAAGAACAGGAAGACATGCTGGTAATTCCGCAGTAAGATTATCACCAAATGTTGAAATAACAAGTCCCATGCAAGTGATAGCACACTCCTTAACTTCCTGGTCTTGATCTTGATTCGTCAAGCGTGTCATGATAGCATTGTAGATAGGATGAACAAATGGTTTAAAGTCAAAGCCAGAAACCTACACAAACAGGGCCATTTGAATGAAGTTGTATTGATACATCAGTAGGTTGTCAACTTGTCACGATATCAATTAGCTGTGATATACATAACCAAACCAACAATCATACCTCAATACTTGGACGCAAAACTCGGACAAGTTCTCCGCAAACTCTCAATGCCTCAGCAGTGACCTTGTAGTATCGCTCACCAACCGAAGATAGTACAGGACCAGAAAGAGCCTGTGCAAGTATAATCATCAACTAAACAAGTTTAGCCAACCCTTTTCTCAGGAGTGGTGCCCAAGGCCAGGTCATAAATTCATCATACGCCTTTCAAGGATTAAAACTTCCTTTTCGTCCTACAACTAATTTATTGCAATGCCATTAATAAAGAATTATTCATTCAGCTATAAGAGTTCTAACCTGCTCCAAAGTAAATTTACTCTTAAGAACTAATTTATCGCAATGCCGTTAATAAAGAATTATTCATTCAGCTACAAAGAGTTCTAACCTGCTCCTAAGTAAATTTACTCTTAAGAAGCATTTTTATGTAGCATATTCTTAACCATTATGTCGCATGAGATTCACAAAACATACCGTCATACGACTATTTATTTAATAAATTCTTATCAGCACTAATAAATGTAAGAGTGTAATATTATGATTTTAATCTTTATATTTACAGTTACTACAGAAAATCCTTCTTTTTATTGTTTTTCTAAGAAAACATTACAACTTTCAACAGGAATTACCCACAGTCACATGTAATAGAAGAAAATTGCTTATTCCATTACTGTCAATGACTGCCATTTCAAGTTAACTGTGGACAGCCCATTAAAGGAAGGAGGAAAAGTGAAAACTCTAACCAGTCTCCTAAATGCAAAATTAGCATTCAATATGAATACTTTAAAATAAAAAAAAAAAAAAAAAAAAAAAAACCACGATATGATTATAGAGAAAAGCTATCCTAAACCCAAATATAGCAATCATTACATATACATCGAATAAGATGAACATTGAAAATAATAAACATTACCTTTATATGCGGATGAAAAACAAGAGGTGAATGTGAAGCCAAAACTAATCTCGTAAATACAAGTGCCTCAATTTTCAAATTTGATGTAGATGAGTTTTCCTGACAGCATTAGTGCAGAAGAGATGAGAATCCTGGAACGAACAAACAAGACCAGCTTAGAATAAAATGAATACGACACTTACTAGTAAGGCCTTCTCTATTCCTGAAATTAGAGATCCAATCTGGTCGGCCAAGCAGTCTGGCAAGACAACAACAAGTTCTTTAAGCACAGAAAAGGCACCAACCTGCCAAAAACAGGAACAGCATCAAGAAACCATATTACAAAAATAAAAAGATAAGATAAAAATATATGTAACTTAGAAGTGCATAAATTTCAAAGAGTAGAAAAAGAATTCCCACCTTAGTTTTGATAGACTTTTCACGCAGCAGCCTATTTATAGATTTCACAATTTTCGGAACTTCTTGCTTTAGTAACCACCTAGGACTGTACAAATGATGAGAGTCTACCATCAGTTTGAAACATGCGAATGATCTGTGCCACTGCTGTAGTGATCAAGGATTTACATAATAGCCCATCCAATTGCATACATATGAAAAAGGATCATTAAATATGTTCAAGTAGCCAAGGGACCTACTAAGGATAGGCTTAAGGGTACACTAAAATTGAGGTTCCATGTCTACAAGCCATTCTGTAATTGCCAACTATATCCATCCTAACATTCTGCAACTTAAATATATAGACAAGCATCAAAGAATCAGATATCATCCCCTCATTCTTTTCTACAATTCACAGTCAACAATCGAGGGACTAGTTATAAGTCATCTCTTAGAGGAATCATAAAGCCCAAAATAGAAAATTTTAAGCTTAACCATCACGCCCAAACTGGAACTCACCAGTGCTCAAATAAAACAGTAAAAAAATAATAATAATTGGACACTAGTTTCAGAATTTCAGATGGTACAAAAATAAAATTGTGCACAAGAAACAAACCGTCAAAACAAATTAACAGCAACACTAACTAAATAGCCCGTATTGTCAACCATTTGGTTGTACATGACAGTCATAACTCACAACATTACTTAAAATGAAATAATCTCACGTAAAAGATCACAAACTCATAATTCCAGAATTCTCAACAAATCAACTGTGGATCTCCAATCAAAAGAAAAATGCCCACAAACATCTAAATTTCCAGCACAAGTTAAAATGTTGCAACTTTCAAATAAATAAGGAGCAAAAATAACAGCACAATGTTTCCTACCTCATCTCGTCTGTATCCATCTGCCCTCCGGTAACATTTCCAGTCTGCCTCAAGAGCTCAATGAATGTATTAAATACATCCATCTGCAGCCGCACAAAATAAACTATCAAGTAAGAGAAACGCTGAAAATGGCAGGCAAGTAGGAGAGAGCCAGTCTACTTTACCTTAACATTTTCTTCTCTTTCTTTAAACCTTTCGATAAGCTTTGGACAAGCCTAGAAAATGAACAATCAACAGACTCATCAATTATAAGCCCTTTTCAATATAAATAAAGCAACAAACTTATTCTGGCAACTCGAATTGCTTATAAGTAATCACCTCTTCATATAGGTTTGAGAGCAGCTCAGGCCGAGAAACAATGAGTCCAGCTAGACATTTTGCTGCAGCTCTTCTCACTTTCCAGCTAGCGTCCTCGTCATCTGTATATTCATTGGCACTTTCACTGCAAAGGGATAACATCAACAAAAAAAATATTGTTTAAGGATGACATCCCAATCAGGAATGAAATTTTGAGTGCTACATCAGCCATTAGATACATACTCATCTTCATCTTCCTCGTTATTTTCGTCATCAGTATCTTCCTCCATGTTATCAGTGAAATTTGGATCATAACTAAGAAATTCCAGAGTAAGATGAAGAATTTCGTCACAATAAGCAGAAATATCCCTTGGACATCTAAGTAGAAAACTCTCAAGAGCCTGCAAAATGAAAAATGTAGTGTTAAATATTGAAAAAAACAACAGCAAAGCCAATAGCAATCACTTTCTTATTTTTACTTCCAACACAGTCTCATCCTCTTAGGAAGTGATAAGAGAAGGTAAACAAAGACTTAATTAAAATAATTTTAACACTGGGAATGGGGGAATTGCTAAAGTATTTCTTCCTCCGTTCTATTTACTTGACCTGTTTTATTAATCACGCTTGCCAATGCAAAATTAACTCCCAATAATTTTAATTATTCATAAATAATAATTATAATAGTTATATATTATGATAGTTTCACTGAGACAATCCTAATAATAAGATCCCAAATGAATACGTTTTTCCTTGCATATAATGAATCAATGAATGGAGGAAGTATGTGTATAAATAATTGTTTTAATTTGTCCATTGACATTATCTAATCTCCTCTTCATAGAGCGTGTCACGAGGCTGTGTTGCAAGTAAAGAAAATGAAGTATATTATAACTACCAGCAAAAATAACCACAAAACAGAAACTTGTAATAGCTAAAACCCACATTTTAGAAAATATGCTTTCTACTGCCTTTAAAGGGCAAAAAAATGAACATAAAATAATAATTCCCATGTGATTCCTGGCAAAAAGTAAATAACATCGTACCTGCAAACTGTACTCTCGAAGCTCTTCATCATTCTCAGATGCACTTTTGCAATAATTGATCAACAGAGGAACAGTATCCTGAAGATGAGGCCCAAAACGATATCCAACAGCACGACTACAATACATTAAGTCAAAATCTATTAAATGGAGAAGCTTTACAATAAAGCACCAAAAAAAAAAGACAGGAAAAATAATAAAATAATTTCACCAACACAAAAAGAACACATGGAAATCACAATAAGTAATAGGTCCATATCAAGAAAAACTACATGAAAATGGTTTTCTCAAGAATTCTATACAGAACTTAACAAGTCCATAGGCTATCTTTGAACACTAGGGATTTCCCCAAGGAGAGAATAGGCTTCCAATCTGGTATTGCAGAGTCCATGGTCTCACGCAATTTAATTTACCGAAGGTAAAATTATGATGTCAATTGCCAGCCTAACGATGCTTTTTGTTCCTAGCCTCACTTTACATCACTGGTTACATCCGATAAAAAATAAATAAATAAAACAAATTTAAAAAAGATTAAATAAGAGTGATTGTGCTTTAAGTTAGTTTGAGGATGAATCGTACATATATAGATTTTCGACCTATAGCTTGCACAAGTATCCACTGTCCAGACTCAAAACATCTCATTCTGCTTTCTTAAATTTATCACAAGGGATGGGAACTTCAACCAGTAGAGATACCTTTACCAGACACAGATATAATACAGTGATATGAATACTCCCAAGGTGCATCACTCTATTTGTTTAGTTAGTGTTTTTTCAGTCTTTGCTCTAATTTTATTATTTTATACCACTTTCTTTGACGGGGTGTTTGGTATAAACACTGTAAATGGAATGGAAAGAATTCAAATAAATAGGGGAAAGAGCAATGATAATGTTATCATTACTATATATTTTATATATTTGGTATCCTAAATTTGGTATCCTAAATCCTAATGGAATGGAAACAATTTGAGTAAAATTGTGATTAAGGAAATGTATTTTGTATTTTGTTTAGTTTGTCAAGGGTAACAAATTGGGGGATTTAGTTACCCTTCGGAAACGGTATTTGTTACTTTTAAGTGTTTTAACTAATACCAAACAACTAGAAATGGAAACACTTATTTGAATCTGTTTCCTACATCTAAAATTACTATACCAAACGCTCATTGAGTTTTTACAAAAATTAGCTTAATTTGTTATTTCATGATTGCTTTGCTAATATTATACCATCTTTTTTTTTAACTATAGTATTTCCAAGTGACCACCCATTTGCCATAGCACAATCTTCCACACTCTATTCAGCAAAATTTTCCTTACCCTTCTCTTCCAATCTAAACGGCTAATTTAATGAAAGCAAAATTATGGATCTTAAGACAAGCTACAACGGTTTTAAGGGAGAAAATTTCATCTCTTTGTATAAACAAGGGACGAAAAGAAAAGTGCGCGCTTAAGGGGCTGCACCATCCCAAAAGTCCCCTTAAAATCAGCATGGTCAAGAGAAAGCATCCAAAAGCATTAACACTAGATCTTCTTCATTATCACAAGGAAATTTTGAAAAAGAAACATTTTCAAAATTTTCAATGCAATGCATTAACAATAGATCTTCTTCCTTATCACAAAACATTTCACAATTTTCAATGCAATGCATTACCATTTCAAAAATGACATGCCAAAACAAAAGCCTTGAACCATTCTTCACTTTTAATCAATCAGGGATTTATAAAAATGCAGCATATTTTCCATAACTCATGTCCTCTCTTTTATTTATATTATTTTTGTCTACAACATGGTTCAAAACAAGAAAATGCTGACCAAGGTAACATAACAGTTAACATCCATATACTTAATCAAAGAGCTGATGAAATATTCCCTTGCCTACAAATATATATTGCTTTGCAAAACATGTAATATATGATCACTAATTGAATGGACAACACATAACTAGCAATTTGTTGGATTTGTTTAGGGGAATGGGCAACATTAGAGAAAATACAAAGGGATACCACCAGCATGGAATACAAAACAACGTCAGACATAAAAAAAAAATTAAATAAAATTAAAAAAAAATAACTAGCTACAATATGACATATACAGACCTTAGAGCCCCAACCATTTGAATGTGTGTTCGCGTCATTTCAGGCTTTGTAGCCTTGCGTTTCAAAAGTCCAACAACTTCAACTGTAGCCTTCGTCAATAAATCATCAGACAAGCTTGATGCAAGTGATGCTGAGCAAAGCAAACATAAGAAGAAAATTGTTTAGAGACCTTAAAGAAGTTTCTTGGAGCCTTATCCTAAGGCAAGACTTGAAAACCATGAGATCTGGAATTGTAAGGAAAAATTATACTACATCAGATCATTGTTTAGAATATATTACCTATGCAAGAAATTGTCTTCTTTCTAATTGTGGCTTGAGTAAAATTCAACTGAGAGAGCAGTGCACGAAGCAGCTCCTCATGATAGGCAACCACAAGGTTCCCATATCTATGAAGAACATCACACAAGATATCAAGACACTCACATTTGATCTCTGTACTTGATCCCTGTATCACACACAGAGGTTATCAAGATACAGCATCCAGGTTCATAAATTAAAACAAATAATATTATAAATGTAAAAAATTATCAATTCTAATCAACAAAAAAAAAAGGTGAAAAAATCAGCAGAAGTAAAATTTAGCAGATTAAAGTCATGAATTTGAGGACTAGGGTCTCTAAGATATCACCCTTACACTCTCCATTGAGAAGCTTCTGGTCCACAGTCACATACCTTCATGTATCATTCAAAAGATTCGTCTATGAGTTGACAGTGGTGAGCCTAACCAAGGTCGAATTTCAACTATCCATTAACTTATAAAGTGTCATGCTTTCCACCTCATCAAGATTTGAGATTTTCTGGGTTAAAGGATTATGGAGGATTGCATTGTTACCTACTTAAATACTTTGGGGGCCTACATTTAGTTTGAAGTCCAACATAGTGGTGTTGGTTGTGAGCATGGATTGCATTGTTACCTACTTAAATACTTTGGGGGCCTACATTTAGTTTGAAGTCCAACATAGTGGTGTTGGTTGTGAGCATAGATTCTAACTTTCTCTCTTAAGTCAAACTCCATTATTCATAAAGTATGATTAGCAGACATAAATTCATAAGTTAAGTTTTTAGAATCCCCATAATTGTTATTAGGCATAGCAGCATACTAAGGATTTGGTGAGTGATGGAAACTCATCCATTAGAAAGAGTGAAGCAGATCACCATTATTGAATGTGCTTGGACCATTAGATTCCTCAATTTAATATACCAATGACCAAGGAAACGTAATACTTCCTCCATCCCCTAATAAAAGCTTCATTTGCCTTTTACACAAGTTTTAGGAAGGTGAATAAAACAAGATAGTGGGGTTTGGTCGAGAGTAGGTGAATATTGTTATAAACAAATAAATTTAAATAATAATAAAAAATATTAAAAAATTTAAATAAAAAAATAAAAAAGGAAAGTGAGGTTTGGCTAGTTAAAGATGAAAATAGAAACAAGACGGTGAAATTGGTTGTCTAAAATTGAATAGATAGGACAAAAACGATAGTGATGATTAAATAGGCAGTTATTTTGATAGATTGTTACAGAAACTAAGCAGTTGTCAATTTATTTTGATAGCTCGTATATTCACAACAATGTGTTTGATTTATGGTTAGTTGTAAGGTTCTTTCTTTAAGATCCACCATCCATTTATAAATGAATACTTTATTGGGGAAATTAACACTCTACCGAAATTCTTTACTATAAAGGACAACCTTCAAGTGAGCCACAAGAACCTCATTTCAATAAATTCAGGGATCAGTGCTGACACTAAAACTTGTCATCAAGGAGACAAATTACAAGATGATTGTATTGCGATACATGGCTTTATGATGATATGGTCATCAATGATGCTATCCATGTTAAGTCAGTTGGCTCTATAGTTATTGATAAAGCTAAAGTTGATCAATTCAAGATACCCCTTCCTCTAGTCTGGGAAAGTAGACCTATGTTTTCAAAATAAAATCTTTTATTATTTTTTGAGGGGGTGTGGCCTGTGGGGCATTTTTTGAAGCAGCCTATAAATTAGTGAGACCCCAGTGTACTTAAGCAGGTTTACAAATGCAAGGATCATAAAAATAATTCGATTAATTATGGCTTAGTGATATTTAATCTTTTCCACAAGAAAACAAAACTCTTATGCTAACTAAAAGTTAATAGTTTAAAACTCACGCTGCCAATTATTCCAGTTGTTAACTGAGGTACAAGAGAATCAATTAGAGCTTGAACAGCTGATGAACTGTTGACTTCAGAAACGATCGTCTTTAAAGCTATGCTTGCAACATCTCTGTGTTGTTCTTTAACATTCAGGAGCTTTTCACAAAGTTTGTTCGTCATATCTAGTACCCTTGCCTCATTGACCTTCTTCACTAGTGGAGCAAGACTGAAAAATTATGGAAACAAGTCAAATAGTCAATAGCAATAGAGACAAAAAAATACTAAGATAGAGATAATGGAACCATTGCACTTCAGCGTCATTCTTGCTCCACAAAACTAATTTCCTTATGTTATCATACAGGAGAATTGCAGAATAGATTTTCTGTCAAAGGCTATACAAACCCAATTTCACTGATTGAAAATCTATCCTTAACATAAAGAATACGGAGTAATTGCATTCCATATATGTTTCGAGGTGTATAAGTCACTAAGTTGGCTTTTTAATCTAATCAACTATAGATGGTATTAAAATTCAACAAGAGGCACCAGTAGGCTATACAAATAAAGTCCATAGGTGAAAGACGAGATTAAGCAGCTAAGTAGCAAAACAGCAACAAGTGGCTCATTGATGAAACAATGCAGAGGCATCAATTAATACGAGTTTAAGCAATGATGCACAGATACGTCAAACAGGTAGCATATCTCGTATCGAGTACGTTTCGGGGACGGGTACTTTGGCAATACGGGTATTTTGTTTTTTTTTTAAACGATTTTTTATTTTGTTTTTTGTTTAATTGGTTATGTGGTTTTATCATTTTATGGAATTATTTTCTTTCAATTTTTATTGTCCAGATTTTTTTTTAGAAATTTTATGAATTTATAATTTACAAAAAAGTTTTTTGCTGTATCTATGCCATACCCGTTTTTTGAAATTTTGATTTTGCTGTATCCCGTCCCCATACCCGTACCCGTTTTTGTACCCATATCCGTTTCTGTGCAACCGAGAGTGCAAGAAGTCTCTAAAACTAAATAAATTTTATTTAAAATAATTAAAAAAAATAAAATGGATTAGAAAATACAGGAAAATGATTTTAAAATTTAGAACAAATGGCTTTTAAATCTAATTTACTATAGATGGTATAAATTTACAAGAGGCACCAGTAGGCTATAAAAATACAGTCCATAGCTAAAACAAGAGATTAAGCAGCTAAGTAGCAACACAGCAACACGTGGCTCATTGATGAAACAATGCAGAGGCATCAATTAATACAAGTGTAAAAAGTCTTTCAAACTAGACAAAAAGATAGATTAAAAAATACAGGGGAAATGGTTTTAAAATTTAGGACAAACAACTTTTTAATCTGATTGACTATAGATGGTATAAAATTTAACAAGAGGCACCAGTAGGCTATACAAATACAGTCCATAAGTGACAGACTAGATTAAGCAGCTAAGTAGCAACACAGCAACAAGTGGCTAATGAAACAATGCAGGAATCATTTAATACGAGTGTAAAAAGTCTAAAACTAAACAAAAAGATGCATTGGAAAATATAGGTAAATGGTTTTAAAATTTAAAACAAATGGCTTTTTAATCTAATCGACTATAGATGGTATAAAATTTAACGAGAGGCACCAGTAGGGTATACAAATACAGTCCATAGGTGAAAGACGATATTCAGCAGCTAGCAACACAGCAACACGTGGCTCATTGATGAAACAATGCAGGAGGCATCAACTAATACAAGTGTAAAAAGTCTATAAAACTAAACAAAAAAGATGGATTGAAAAATACAGGGGAAATGGTTTTAAAATCTAAAGCAAACGGCCTTTTAATCTAATAGACTATAGATGGTATAAAATTTAACGAGAGACACCAGTAGGCTATACAAATACAGTCAATAGGTGAAAGACAAGATTAAGCAGCTGAGTAGCAACACAGCAACACGTGGCTCATTGATAAAACAATGCCAGAGGCATCAATTAATACGAGTGTAAAAAGTCTCTAAAAACTAAACAAAAAGATGGATTTGAAAATACAGGGAAAATGGTTTTAAAATTTTGAACAAATGGCTTTTGAATCTAGTCGACTAACAGATGGTATAAAATTTAATGAGAGGCACCAGTAGGCTATACAAATACTGTCAATAGGTGAAAGATGAGATTAAGCAGCTAAGTAGCAACACGTGGCTCATCGATGAAACAATGCAAGAGGCATCAATTAATACGAGTGTAGAAAGTCTCTAAAAGATATAGATATATATATAAACAGGGAAAATGGTTTTTAAATTTAGAACAAACGGCTTTTTAATTTAGTCGGCTACAGATGGTATAAAATTTAATGAGAGGCACCAATAGGCAATACAATTACAGTCAATAGGTGAAAGACAAGATTAAGCAGCTAAGTAGCAACACAGAAACAAGTGGCTCATTGATGATACAATGCAAGAGGCATTAATTAATACGAGTGTAAAAACTCTCTAAAACTAAACAAAAAGATGGATTGGAAATGCAGGAAAAATGGTTTTAAAATTTACAGCAAACGGCTTTTTAATGTAATCGACTATAGATGGTATAAAATTTAATGAGAGGCACCATTAGGCTATACAAATACAGTCAATAGGTGAAAGACGAGATTAAGCAAGTAAGTAGCAACACAGCAACACGTGGCTTATTGTTGAAACAATGCAAGAGGCATCAATTAATACAAATGTAAAAAGTCTCTAAAACTAAACAAAAAGATAGATTGAAAAATACAGGGAAAATGGTTTTAAAAATTTTAAACAAACGGCTATTTGATATAATCGACTACAGATGGTATAAAATTTAACGAGAGACACCAGAAGGCTATACAAATAAAGTTCATAGGTGAAAGACAAGATTAAGCAGCTAAGTAGCAACACATGGCTCATTGATGAAACAATGCAGAGGCATCAATATGAGTGTAAAAAGTTAAAACTAAACAAAAAGATGGATTGGAAAATACAGGGAAAATAATTTTAAAATTTAGAACAAACCATTTCACAGCTAGTCCAGAAACATCCCCAGCCGAATCATCAAGTTGCTGAAGAATGGTAAGTGCCAACTTAATTTCCAAATCAGAATCAACCTTAAATCCCTCCTTGCTCAATTCATTTAACAAATCAGAAGTAGCCATATAGCGGTAATCTTTATCTTTACCAGTCATCTGGACAAAAAAAGAATACGAACATAAGTCAAGAAAAAATTAATAAAAGAACTCGTTAACTATTGTCAAACAATATGAATGATAATTCATGACATTAATATCAAAAATATATAATGTGTTACGGTGACTCGAACACAAAACCAAATTCATTCACTTTAAAAATCACCCAAAGAATCCTAGTACTACTTGAAGAGATCTTAATGTCATAATTCATACTTTTCAAGCAACAAAATAACTACAACAAATTAGTAAAAATAAATAAATATATATTTTAAAAAAAATTAAAAAAAAAAAAGCAAAATTTTCGAAAGAGATGGTACCTTTTCAAGTATCCCTGTCAATGCAACGTTCGCCATGATTACACAGCCAAGCAACTGAAGCAATTATGCAGCAAACTACAACGATGAAAGATTCTTGATTAAGATTAAACCCTTACATGCACAATCATATATAAAACCCGAAATCAAGTAAAAATAACAATGTGGAAAAACAAAAAATTAAACCCTGAAATGCATAATCAAAAAATTAAGCAAAAACCCTAATTACATTGAGATTATAAGGGTTTTTCGAGCAGTAACGCACACGTTCAGTGGCGTATAAAGGGGGTTCAATTGGTTCAACTGAACCCCAAAATCTAGTAATTGAAATCACTGATAAACTACGAAAGAATTAATTTGGAATTCTACAGAAAACAAAACGACCATTGAATTTACCTTGAGAGCGAGTGACTATGGAATTCGTTTTTTTTTTTTTTTTTTTCTGGAAAAAATGAAAGGTGAAAAAGGGAAGTATGAGGTCTCTTGGGTTTTTTTTTTTTTTTTTTAAATAGTACTTTGTATATATAGTAATAAATCCTTCTAGAGCAATAACTCTTTTTTTTTTCCGAAGGAATAATTCTTTTTTTAAAAAAAATTAATTGTCATTGATATACATTATTAATTTTAATTTTCTTTTTTTGGGAAGAAATCCAAATTGATATAAATGATCCTTTTTACGGAGTATTATACAAGCTTAGAAGCGCACACAAATGCGTGCACGATATCTTGAATGATTTGCCCAATTGGTGTTAATAAATAAATAAATTACTAAAATAGTGTTCACTTAAAAATATTTCTTAAAGTAGTGTTCATGTAGGTTCGGAAATTACAAAGCTAGGAATTAAAAATTAATGGCTAATACAATCCAAAAATACATATATTTAAACCATCAAATTCTTTATTTTTAATGCTTACGGTATCTTGACCAGAGTATGGATTATGAATACGAAGTAATATAAATGTTTAAAAATTTTAGCATTTTTGATTTGGATATAACCTTGTCAAAAAAACGTATATGTAACATAATACATAATGCATTATTTAGACGGATTTAAATCATCAAAGGGCACTCAATCACCATTCTTGAAACCAACTGCTAGTTCTACAATGCAATATCAATTTGGAGATGGTATTACTTTATTACAAAATAACTCAAAACATGTCATACTAGCTAAATAAAAAAAACTCAATTTAGCACCGTGTTTTATGAATTTGGAGATGATGATCCAACAGCCCTCAAGAATGTGTGCTCATGCTTCAAATGAAAATTTGAAGAGTCATGTTGGCCAAGAAGTAGAGTTGGAAGCTCTATTTGATCTGTTAAAAAGTAGACATGTAATATTGTTAGTAAGAAAAATAATTTCATTTGACTAACTATATTTACATATCCTTAACTCTTATAAAAGTCCCAAAGCAACTTACTGTTGCACCAAATTTGCTTCCAAATTTATTGTTCCTTAGGAACAGGGAAATGGCGCATTTGCCCTTTGTCTCCCTTGCTGGAGCACCAAAATTCCAAGGGTAGGATTGTCCTTTCGCTTTTATCCTTGCTTGGTGTACATTTGTTAGCTGATGTTGGCCACGTGTGGAGCTATACTTCCTGGGAACCTTTTTTCTTTCTTTATTGATGTAATTTTTTTCTTTCTTTATTGATGTAATAACCACCTTTGATGTAATTAAGGATTAGGCAATTAATTTGGTGATTGCGTTTTCTTCGCTTCCAGAGCATAGTTCAATGGAGATTGTTCTTGTGATCTGGGTTGCTGCTGCTTTATATATGATGCTTATGGGTTATTATAAGGTGCGTTTTTTGTTTTTTCCCTTTTTTTCCCCCGAAATTTAGTTATCTTTGATTTATGGTTGGCTGTGTTAATTTGCTATTTACCTTGGGATTTCATTTTATATGTTTTGTGTTAGTGGCGGAGGTTATGGTATTGTTAGATAATTAGGTGATTATTTATTGTGATTGGAAAATTTGTTTGGCCTATTTCTTCTTGAATTGTTATTTTAGTAGCAAAGGATATGGTCTGGTTAGCTAATTAGGTGATTAATTATTGCAATTGGAAAATTGTTGTAGGTTGGATACTGTTTTTATTTTATTTTATTTTATTTTATTTTATTTTTGTAGCAAAGGATATGGTCTGGTTAGCTAATTAGGTGATTAATTATTGCAATTGGAAAATTGTTGTAGGTTGGATACTTTTTTTTATTTTTTTGACGAGAAAAGCAAGAAATATTATTAATGGTTGGATACTGTTAATCTACAGTGTTTGCACAAGGAATGATGTGGTGCAGCTGTTTGAGTTGTACTACAAAATTGCTAGAATATTTATTGTATTTAAATATACTAAGTATAGAAGATATTTGAATTTCGAGGCTTAAAATACTTGTGTGATGTACTTCTTTGTTGTATTAAAATATGTATAGGCTAAGATGCATTATGCACTCTTTCTTGTTTTGATTTGAAATATGTAGTATTCCTTCTTAGAAAGCTTTTCATTTCCATCATTCATATAAATATCTAAATATTATAGTATAATAGTAGTATCATAGAGTATGCTACAAAATTTAGACTATCTTTTAGGGTGGCTTTTAGGGTGGCTTAAGATCTGACAACATATTAGAGACTTTTCAGCCAAAATTTACAACTTGTACCATAAAAAATTTCTCCAATGGCTTCTTTTTTTTTTAAAGACTTTTAAAAAAAAATTAACTTATTATTTTCTTATGTGTAAGTAGAAAGCTAGGCATATCAAACGTAAAAAATGGACACTTTGAATACCTAACCAAAAGCATAGAATGTGCAGTATAAAGTTCAGAGTACAAATTTCCTAATCAGAGGTATGGGATGAACAGTATAAACAGTGACAGCACAATAAAAAAAAACCTCACTGTCTATTTTCCAATCTATCTCTAGAAGTATCCAAGGCTATTGTAGTCAATTTACCTGTGTTTTTAAGGACTACATGTTTTTTTAAAGCACTATAAAAGCATTTGCTGCTAGGGCATACGTTTTTTGGGTTTACAGAAGCAAGTATTCTCAGCATTAATTTCTGAACTATGGAAGGTATGGTTTTTTAGTTATGCAATAATTACTCATATTAGTTTTTAGAATTCTTATTTCGTTTACCTTTTCTAAGAAATTTATTATTATTTGGTTGTCTATTTTTTTAGAAAAAAAAAATAATGAATTGAATTGTAGATTATGTTTTAAAGCTGATACTAACAATAAATTCTGTACACATTTATATGCACAGAGTTAAAATTCAGAACAACTAGACACAAACCACAGTATGTGTATTTGAATCAGTTAAATGCATCAAGCAAAACTTTTATAGTCAGAGTAGTAGTTGCTGAAAAGGGAGGAGACATACTATCTTCCAAAAAAACTGTCAGATTCCAGACTTTGCTATTGAAGGACGAGCAGGTATCTATTTATTGCTTTAGAAGATTATATGTCCATATTATTTTAGGTATGTTTTGAATGTGAGAATCTAAATGTTTCTACTCAATTTTTGTTGGACTGTTTTGAATGTGAGAATCTAACCGTTTTCAATGAGTTGTTTTATGGACTTTGTTCTACAAGTTACGAGCATAAATTGCTATTAGTAAATGTACACGATTAGTTTGCAACTTTGAATCAAATCTTGTTTTAAAACAATCAATAAGTTGATCAAGACAAAATAAAGTACATTTATAAAAAAATGACATCTAGACTGATTAACAGATTGATCAGCTATTATACTATGCTCAGTTATTATCATTTATAAAAAATTATCATTTGATTATCACCACACTATAAATTATCTATAATTTGAGCTGAAAAAAAAAAAGAAAAAGACTCATTATCATTATCATATATTATAAATTAACTATAATTTGAGCTGAAACAAAACCCACAACGATTTCTACAATAGTGATAGATTATATAATAGGATTATTATAGTACATTAATGACATCATTTTTTTTTACCAAATATGAAGATAACTATTTTTATTTATAACTTTGACTTTCAATTTAAAACGAATGCCTTATACTAGCTAACAAGTAGAAGTAGCTTCCTGAATCTTCTTTACAATGTGAAGCTGATAGCATCGTGTAGCTTACAAGTTTGTACTGCAATGTTGTAGGGCAACAGGATGCGAGGTACTTTATTTGGAGATCAGATTGAGGCTTTTGAAGATGCACTGCAGTATCTGGGAGAGTATGATATTTCTGCTGCAACAATCAAATTTATAGATGAAAAATGGAGAACTGGCCTTGATCAGTTCCCTTACCAAATGACTTTTGGTAGTAGAACTGTGATTCAGCCAGTTGATCCTGAACTTGGACCAGTTTTACCTAACTACCAGCTAATAGCAGCTATTCCTCGTGCAGTGGATCCTGATGAGAGATATGGTAAGATAATATAACTTAACATGTTCAAAATGACTCTATCTAACAAAAATACTAATAAACATTTTTTAATCACAGATGTTGTAGGAGTGGTTCTTTATGTTGAAGACGAACCAAGAAGAGTTGAAGGGAAAGATGGAGGACGAGATAGCTTAGTGCGAGAAATAATCATCACTGATCAAAGGTTACTTTACATGATATTCAGTGTCAAGGAGAATAGTAACTTTATTCAATCATGTTTCTATATTACAATAACTAAGAATGTGTGTTTCATATAATAGCTGCGATCAACCACTATCCATCTCTCTGTGGAATGACTTGACAGAAGCAAGGTACTTCGACAGATTAAAAAACTGGGCAGATTCGTTCCAAGTCATAGGATTTAGAGCACTCAAACCATATACTCGTCGTGGTAAGACATCAACTAATGTTATTAAATTACTTTAACACTTTATTGCTATGAATATGTAATCACTACTGTTATAAATAGGATTTTCAATGAACTCAAGTATGTCTACTCGCATAATATATGAACCTAAGGGAGAACGCGCACGTGTACTGCAAACTGGTAATTTTCTATGCAAAAATATAATCTGAAATAACAACACCAAAAACCTTATTTTGCTTATGGTTATGTTTGCACTAAAACTTATGCCAGGGTAAACCTCTTCCACCAGAAAATAGTTGACAGACAAGCAATGGTATTAGATGTTAAATACCCAGGTGAAAACAAAAAGATAGTCTCAATTGCTGATCTGAAGCGAAGAAAGGTAAGACATTGCTATAACTGAATTGATTCAAAGATTCATGCCTAACTGAAACTTAGACATGTGAAATCTAACAAGTATTCATTAACTATAATGTGTGCATAGCCAAGCAACACCATGCAAGAAGAGATTCTTTGGATTGAAGTGACTATTCAAAATGCTGACTTAGAGAAGGTGAACACATATACAGGATGTTCTAATTGCTCAAAGCGCTCCAATCTCCCATTGCAGAAGCGTTTCTCGTGTTCTTCTTGTTCAAACAAAGAGAGTATCTGCACAGAGAGGTATATACATATGAACTTATATAACTATCTCTATTTACTAGCATTATACTTAATAACATATACCTATTGT